GGTCATGAAAAGTTACATAAACGGCGTAGTTTAATGTAAAAATGGTATGTATCGTATAAGAGCAATATGACGATTGCTTACACTTACAGTATGGTTGTCTGTTTTTATATCCTTAAATAACCATGATTTAGCCAAGAAACTGTAAAGAGCTGGAAATTAAATAAAAAGAGAATAGACGTCAGCTTCTGTACATAGCAGAAAAACCACACTCAGAAATGGTGTCTTCTATTCAGTTTTATTAGGGACATGAATGCATGTGCTCCCACAGGTCCAGTTCTTTTTGCAGCTTTGTAAATGTTATTGTTCTGTGGTTTCTAATATAGGCATTAAAGAGTCCCTGATGCCACATAGATGCTAATAATAACAAACATCAGTTATATTTGTACAAGAGCAGAACACCAAATAGATGCTGAAAGACCATTAGGGAAAATAATGTTCCTCTTCATCCTGTTTCTCTCGACTAAGAATGGCTATTTCAAGTAATTCTGCTGAGTACTCAAACACGTAAAAATGAGTAATTGTTTACTCTGTCATAAATGTGAGCGTTAAATTTCTTGTGGAGCTAAAATTAGATTCTTGCAGGATCACAGGGAGGCATGACTCCAAAAACCAACTTTGCAGAAAGTTTAAATATTGCTCCACCTAGACACACCAGAGAGCACTTCAAGATGTAGGTAAGATTCAGCTGGGAAATGTACTAGAAAATGATAGAAAATTGTGCTTGAAAGTTATTTGATGTCAAGTCAACTTGGTGCAGAATGTATACTTCACTTAATGATACGCTAATTCAGAGTAGTGACAAATGTTGACAAATTTGCCTCTGTGCCTTTTATGTTTTGCTATGGTGAAGTGGCTCTTTGAAAATCCTTTGCCAAGCAGGGGGTCTCCCATTGGGAACAGGGATCAGAAAATTAGTGTTAATTACTTTTTGATCTATTGACACTAACTCTGCAGACATTCAATAGGTTTGTTACCTCTGTGCTGCAACCGCCCTCATCTATTCATTTGATTACCCGACTCTGAATAATGCATGAGCAAGTCAGCCTCTGGAAAGCGGCACCATTTGTGAAATGCTGAAAAGGCAATGCCAGCAGCGTTCAATCATTTGAATGATATTATTAAACCAGTCACTTGAATCCCATTATTAAAGCGTAAAATGTAAACCCCGTTGGTTATGGTCCCTTATTATCTGGCGATTTATTTGTTGTCTTCCAATGAACGCAAGGCCATTGTCTACTTGGTAATTGATTGTTATTTCTTTGATTGATTGCAACGAGATGCAAATATTACTGCAAACATCCTAACAGTGGACCTCCAGCAAGCCGCCTATGACTTGAAGACTTTTGGATTAGACGTGGCAAAATTAACCGCTTTAGATGTCTGCTCCATACGACCTCTGACTTGAGTTTTCGCTTCATAGATTTGACGCATTTCTTTTTGCTAAAGCCTGTAAATATATTATTGGGACACCGCCAAGCTGTGTGGGAAATGGAATAGAACTTAGCTGCTTTTCTCAAACTGCTGTCATAATGAAATATGTGATGTCTCATTTTCATGCAGCCCTGCACATTCAACTGGGACACGCATAAGATCTGAGTGCAACGAATTACGTTCAATCACAATGGTTCTTTGGGCTCTGTACGCCTGTGCACACATACACGCTTGCATAAAAGCCACCCAAACTCTCATTTTAATCACAATAGGCATAAAAAGAACTTCTTTGGATGTTCCGTGGAAAGCTTGTGTCGCATCAAGTTTGGAGTGCCTGAGTCTTGCGCTTTCAGAAATGATCAATTGGCGTTATGTTTTCCTTTCCAGTCTCCATCCCGCTAATGATGGCAGCTTTGAGCTGCAGGGACGGGAGCTTTGTTTTCCCCACTGAGAGCGAGAGAGATGGTTTGATGCAGTGTCTGATGCTTGTCCTGAAGCTTCCACTAAAGTTTCTCTGTATTATTACACCAGTGTCCCTCAGGAGAGCATGTCTGATGAATTATTGCCTCTTGCTCCATACTAACTTCTACTTGAAGATAGACTCTGACAGGAGACCTGACATGGAGAGAGGAAGATCGATTTGTTGGCGTTCATCAGTTGATGATCAGATGTAAAGATTTGTGCTTTTTAAAGTTTTGTGGACTATGACTTTCAAGCAGTTACTCCATAAAGCATTATACACACACACACACACACACACACACACACACACACACACACACACACACACACACACACACACACACACCTGTTGTTTAATTTGATACATGAAAACCCTACACCTTTTATTTAGGGAACAACAACATCTGAATACCCTCTCTTCAGGTATGTGTCTGACAGAAAGTGTTGTGAACCCCCTTCGGAGGTTTGCCACCTGTGTCCTTTCTATAGTGTTCTACAGATGCTGGAACCAACACCTGATTCACACTGTGTTACATCAATAATACTAAAAGCCTTCTCTGAATTCCTGAGCTGATAAAAGTGGCACCAGTGTGACCTCTTACAAAATTGTCCTTTCTGGAAAATAGGTTACATTTAGTTGTAATCAAAACAAACACTTAGTAGTGTGGATTTAGTCCCTGGGCCTCCCTAGCTTCTTTTAAATAATTTAATTGGTGTAAATTTGAAAATACATCAAATTTTATATGTCACAAATTTAATACGTCACATTATAACTATTAATTTCAAGTGTTCAATGAACAGATTGCCCATCTGTGTGTTGCCAGTGAAAGTGTGTACTTGTGTTGTAAATAATGCAAAAATCTGCATTCATATATCTGGAGGACGAAGCACATTGTACTTATTTTGTTGATGCATGTATATAATAGTTAAGTCAACTTTATATAAAGTGAAACTCTTCTTTGTTTAATCAGAAAAAATATATATAATTGGCATCTGCTATTAAGTTTTTTTCTTTCTTTTTTTTTACCCACAAAGTTACTCTGAAAATACCTGTCAGGATGTTAACTATCCTGGACGAGCCCCAAAAATGTTACAACCCCAACACTTAACCAAGGATCTGGTTCAAACTACCACTCAAAGCGAATTGTACTCAAAGTAACAACGACAAACAAATATTGCTGTACAAATACTGTGATTTACTACAGGTGGTGATTAGTGAAGCAGTGAGTGAGCTATTTACAATCAGCAACCAAAACAAAACATAAATTAGAAAGACTGGCTATGGGTAGTGCTAAAGCAAAGAAACAATCAAAACCAAAACAGTCTTACTAATATAAAATCTCCTCTAATCTAGTCTAATAAACAAAAATTTGAAAAATAAAACCTTGTTGTCTTCTTGATGAACAGCCAAAAAGACAAGAAAACCAGAATCTGCCGTGTCCTGTTTTTGTTTTATGAGGCCGTCCAAAAGTGTGGGCGGGTTTACTTTCTCCAGAGAGCTCGCGTGCACTCACTGCGTGTATATATTTGAAATAATAAACTTTCTTGAGTTGATCATAACATGCACGTGATTATTAAAGTGCTTCTGACATTCTTTCAGAAATGAACAAATACAAGAGTGAAGCGGGAAAAAACAAAGGAGAAGCTGGAAAAAACAAATGAGTAAATGATTTTTTTTCAGCAACCTAAAACATGAACAAATTGCTATGTTTTACTATTATCATCACCTTTTGGACTTTTCTGAACTCGAAATGACGGAATTACCTTCTAACAAGAGGTTACGTGTGCTGGTGAAGATTAAAGATACAAAGGAGATGTGTGCACTGATTGGGCTTTATGTTGTATGTTTTTGAAGCCAAATAAGGACTAAATGTATGCTTTGTGTATTTTTTTTTTTTTTTTTTGTAATTGGTAACATATTGGAGGCTGTAAGGGTTTGTATGTGTTTGTTTATATAGGTGCATTTATAATGTTAATTGTAATTTAGAATTGCAGACATTACAGTAGGTTATTTTTATAATTAATCTGCAGTTGAAATCAAATCATGTTCATAGAAAAGTTGGTAATGAACATTTGTACAAGTATTTGTGTGCATAAAGCATCTGTTGAATGTGAACAACCCTAACAGCTTTACTTTGTCATTTCCTCGAGCGAGAATGACATCAACTTAAAGTTTGTTGTATGCCATGCCCACCAAATGGGTATCATTGGCAGTGGAAACGCAAGCCTGATAAAGGTGACCCATACAGTACTGGACCACTCTGTGGAAATGGACCATAAGTAACACATACCTGCATGCAGTCAAATCTACCAATTGTGTCACTGTACATCCAATACCTACACTGTATCAGCTGTTTTTCAAGACGCATTAGAGAATTAGACTGTGAAAACTATCAAAATCGCTGTGTTAATCGGGAGTGTTAATACAGTCTGAAAAGTCTGTTAACTTCATTCATTGGGAACTTTAATGAAGCTGTTTTATCGTTGTATCCCAGTTGCATTTTTGAGGTTTCAACAGCACTATGCACGGTTATAGTACTACTCTGAGAAATCATTAGCTTCAGCGTTGTTTGTTTTTTCCAGTCTCTAAGAGGCGAAAGCATTTTCACCTCTCCTACCACCTCCTCTTTTTTTTTTTGCGAAATGAACCACTCTCCTGCATTAGTTCTTGTCCTTGATGGAAGGATTAACCCTCCTCCAGTTCCATTAAACTGCAGCCTTGCCACCTATGTCCTCATAGACATGTTTTCCTGTGGCAGTAGGGACAAGAATGTTTAGGTGTAAAAAAATGCAATATCCTAAAAAATTGCCTTGTAATTTCAGACTTTGACCTTCTCTAGTTGTGGGATCTTTACTTGGTCACTTCAATTATAAACTGCAGCCCTGGTTCAGTCAGTTATCTTGAGTTCACCCAGAATGCATCTCCATTCTAATGCTTAAAGAACAAATGTGGGTTTTTATTCCAGTTCGTGTTTGTTTTGAGCCTCTGTTGTGAAGCTGTTTGCCAGAAATCATTTTGAATGAACACGCAGAAAACAATGAATAATCAATTTTCTTCTATAAGTAATGCTAAAAATCACTCCAATTTTCCTCTTTTTTCCTCACAGCTCAGCCAAATCCACCCAAAATCCATGAGGGATGGTGGGCTTACAAAGAAGTTGTTCAGGGGAGCTTTGTTCCAGGTAATCATTTTACAACAGCTTTCTTTTGGAGTTCACAAATGATGTTTTCAACTCTTAACATCACACATATGGATTATACATTAGTTCTAGATAATTACAGTGCTACAATTGTTGTTGTAATTTAGTAAAATCGCTAATTAAGTGCTACCACTAACAACATTGGTTTAATCTTCAAGTTCATTATCTCCATCATGCATTATCTTTAACTATACCTGCCTGCATTCAGTAGAATCATTTTGACTTCTTTGATGGTGTTGGATGTTGTTAAATATTATTGATTATTGCTTCCCCTTTATTTCCCTGCCACTAAAGCTGCATGCATACAACCTTACTTTAAAAATCTGCTTTTGATCGTGCTCGTTGCTACTTGTATGCAGCTTGGTGCATGATTAGGCTCCTGAAAGAAAGGGCAAGAGTATAAAAAGAATATTAAAGTGTTTGAAATGCCAGACATGTGGAAATGCGTGTAGGATTTTGACTTCCTCTGCTTTTGTTCGCTTGGCCTTGGTTTCTGTTTTTCATACTGTGTTTACATGCTGAAGAATCTGTTAAAATTTCTAATTAATTTCTGATGTGTTAGCACAAGTTAGTCTGTCTAGATGTTTCTTGTTTTGTTGTTCATCATTGAGAAGTGGTAATCCCTTTTTACGTCTAGATCTGTCAGTTTATCTCTAACTGTCATTCTGTCACTGATTGGGTGCATTTTGAAGTTCTTTTAACCTTCTATTATTAGTGGATGTGGTTTTTTAAATGCTAAGAGACCACTTAAAAAAATCATAGTTTCTTTTGGATTAATGATTTATAGTTATGCATAAAAAAAACAAAAAAACATTTTTGATTCATTCTATAAATTGGTGACTTAATTTTCAAGTAAAAAAATAAAAATTTTGTAATTTAAAGCAATTTTTTTTGCGGTGCCAGCTGTTCATATGTGCATTCATTATACATTTATACAGCAGAATGCCAATGGTTTTACCATCAGAAGAAGGTAAGAAATCACAATTCGGTGCAATAACCCTGATTTGCTGTCACAGCAAATAATAATAACAATAATAATATATATATATAAAAAGTTTCAACAGCATATATATATATATATATATATATATATATATATATATATATATATATATATATATATATATATATATTATTCTTAACAAACTGTAATTTTTCTAAAAACAAAAGTTAAAGACATCAAAGCATATCACAGACAAGTTATTTGATACAAGTATTGTTGCTGGGTGTCCGGTGCCCTGCAGGGTTTAGCTTCAACTTGCCTCAACACACCTGCCTGGGTGTTTTAAGTATACCTAGTAAGACCTTGATTAGCTTGTTCAGGTGTGTTGGATTAGGGTTGGAGCTAAAATCGGCAGGACACCCAACTTCCAGGAACAAGTTTGGTGATCCCTGCTATAGACTGATTTTACGCAGCTGCCATTTTTGAAGCGATTTCGAGGCTGCAGTAGGTAGAAACCCATAACATTGTCTAGAGCAGGGGTCACCAACCCTGTTTCTGGAGAGCTATCTTCCTGCAGATTTCAGTTGCAACACTGACCAAAAACACCTGATTGTAATTATCAAGTGCTGCTTTAGGTACTATTAATTCGTTCAGGTGTGTTTGATCAGGGTTGGGACTGAATTC